TGATGAAGAGATAGCCAACTTATCAGATGCACAGTTCAAAACACTGGTAATCAGGATGCTCACAGAAATGATGCAAAATGGAGGAAAAAATGAAGGCTATGAAAAGTGAAATAAAGGAAAATGTACAGGGAACCAACAGTGAAGAAAAGGAAACTGGGATTCAAATCAACAGTTTGGAACAAAAGGAAGAAATAAACATTCAACCAGAACAGAATGAAGAAACAATTCAAAAAAATGAGGAGAGGCTTAGCAACCTCTGGGACAATTATAAACGTTCCAACATCCAAATCATAGGGGTGCCAGAAGGAGAAGAACAACAGCAAGAAATTGAAAATTTATTTGAAAACATAATGAAAGAGAACCATCCTAATCTGGCAGAGGAAATAGACTTCCAGGAAGTCCAGGAAGCTCCGAGAGTCCCAAAGAAGTTGGACCCAAGGAAGCACATACCGAGGCACATCATAATTACATTAGCCAAGATTAAAGAGAAGGAGAAAATCTTAAAAGCAGCAAGAGAAGAGATAGTTACCTACAAAGGAATGCCCACAGACTATCAGCTCGTTTCTCAAAAGAGACCTGACAGGCAAGAAGGGACTATTCAAAGTCATGAAAGGCAAGGACCTACATCCAAGATTACTCTACTCAGCAAAGTTATCATTTAGAGTGGAACTCCAGATAAAGTAAAGTTTAAGGAGTTCATCATGACCGAGACCTTATTCTATGAAATGTTAAAGAGATTTATCTAAGAAAAAGAAGATCAAAAATATGAACAGTAAAATGAGAACAAACTCACAACTATCAACAACCAAACCTAAAAAAACAAAAACAAAAAAAACCGAACTGAGCAAATAACTAGAACAGGAACAGATTCACAGAAATAGAGATCACAGGGAGGGTTATCAGTAGGGAAGGTGAGCAGGGAGAATGGGGGAAAAGGTACAGGGAATAAGAAGCCTAAATGGTAGGCATAAAACAGATAGGGAGAGTTTAAGAATAGTATATGAAATGTAGAAGCCCAAGAACTTATGTGTATAACCCATGGACATGATATGGTGAGGGAATGATGGTGGGTGGGGGGTACAGGCTGGATGGGAATAAAGGGGAAAAGTGGGACAACTGTAAAAGCATAATCAATAAAATATATTTTTAAAAGGAAGGAAATTCATTTACATGCTATAATATTAATGAAGTTTAAGAACATTTTGATAAATAAGCCAATCACAAAAAGACAAATACTATATGATTCCAGTTATGTGAAGTACATAGAACAGTCCAATTCACAGAAACAGAAAGTAGAATGATGGTTTCTAAGGGATAACAGAAGGGGAAAGGGAGTTGTTGTTGAATGGGTGTAGGGTTCTAACTATGCAAGATAAAGAGAGTTTTGAAGGTTGATTTCACTTTGTTGATATCAAAGTGAATGAATGCACTTAGCGCTATTGCGCTGTACACTTAGTAATAAATAAGATTGTAAATTTTATGTTACGTGCTTTTGTTACACTAAATGACTGTGAGAAAACAGTATGGAATTTCCTCAGAAAACTAAAAATGGAACTGCCGAGGACTTCTGCCAAGATGGAGGTGTAGGTGGAAGCACAGCACCTTCTCACACAACCAAGTTCAAAAACAACAAAGTTTTAGCAACAAAAATGCAGCCAAACCACACAAAATTGAACTACACAGAAGTCTGACAACAACAAACCCTTCAGCCAAATCAGTAAGAGGGGGAGAGCCAGCAGCAGAGCAGGGTTGGGCAGGAAAGATCCACCTGACCAACCGGGGCATGCAACCCAGGCGCACAACGCAGGCGCACCGGCAGCCGTGGGCAGATCCCAGATGAGAAGTAGCAGGTGGACCCATTGAGGGCTGACCACAGTCACACATTTGAGCGCATATAAGCCAGTGATGAGACAGACCGTGCAGGCTCCAGTCACAGAAAGTGGCAGAGGGGACCGCCATTGTCCCTCTCTGACTCTGCCCCCACATACAGCATCACAAATCAGCGACCTGGGTGGCCTCTCTCTGACCCACCCCCACATACAGTGTCACAGACCAGCGACCTGGTTGGCCCTGCCATGGTGAACAACTAAGGCTCCGCTCCTCATATGTAACAGGCACGAACAGATCAAAACATGGCTCAAGAACAACTCAGAGCCCCAGAGCCGATAAATCTAAGCAACAAAGAAATAGCCAAACTTTCAGATGCACAGTTCAAAACACTGGTGATCAGGATGCTCACAGAACTGGTTGATTTTAGTCACAAATTAGAGGAATATATGAAGGCTAAACTAATTGAAATGAAGGGAAATGCACAGGAAACCAATAGTGATGGAAAGGAAACTGGGACTCAAATCAAGGGAGTGGACCAGAAGGAAGAAAAAAATGAACAAACAGAAAAGGATGAAGAAATAAGAATTCAAAAAAAAATGAGGAGAGGCTTAGGAACCTCCAGGACATCTTTAAACATTCCAACATCTGAATTATAGGGGTACCAGAAGGGGAAGAGGAACAGCCACCAGTGGAAAACTTATTTGAACAAATAATAAAGGAGAATTTCCCCAATCTGGCAAAGGAAATAGACTTTCAGGAAATCCAGGAAGCTCAGAGGGTCCCAAAGAAGTTGGACCCAAGAAGGAACACACCAAGGCACATCATAATTACATTACCCAAGATTAAAATGAAAGAGAGAATCCTAGAAGCAGCAAGAGATAAGGAGATAGTCACCTACAAAGGAGTTCCCATCAGACTGTCAGCTGATTTCTCAAAAGAGACCTTACAGGCAAGAAGGGGCTGGAAAGAAGTATTTCAAGTCATGAAAACCAAAGACCTACAACCAAGATTGATCTATCCAGCAAAGCTTTCATTTAGAATGGAAGGACAGATAAAGTGCTTCTCAGATAAGATCAAATTCAAGAAGTTCATCATCATCAAGCCCTTACTGTATGAAATGTTAAAGGGACTTACCTAAGAAAAAGAAGATAAAAAATATGAACAGTGGAAGGACAGCAAACTCACAGTTACTAAGAACCACACCTAAAATAACAACAAACTAAGAGGACAGCTAGATCAGGAGCAGAACCATAGAAATGAAGATTCCATAGAGGGTTAGCAACAGGGGAGTGGGAGAAGGAGAAGGGGGGAGAAGGTACAGAAAATAAGTAGCATAGATGGTAGGTAGAAAATAGGGGGAGGGCAATAATAGTATGGGAAATATAGAATCTAAAGAACTTGAGACATGTGGTCATAAACTAAAGGAGGGGAATGGTGGGGGAGGAGTGTGCAGGGTGGAGAGGAGTGAAGGGGGAAATAGAACTATAATGGCATAATCAATAAAATATATTAAAAAATAAAATAAAAATGGAACTGCCTTTTGACCCAGCAATTCCACTGCTGGGTTTATACCCTAAGAATCCCAAACCTCTGATTCAAAAGATTTAAGCACCCCTATGTTCATAGCAGCATTATTTACAATAGCCAAGTGCTGGAAACAGCCTAAGTGCCCATCAGTAAATGAATGGATAAAAAACTGGTATGTTTACACAATGGAATACTATGCAGAAGAAAGAAAGAACTCCTACCTTTTGCAACAGCATAGGTAAAACTGGAGAATTTTATGCCAAGTGAAATAAGCCAATTGGTGAAAGACAAATACTATATGATCTCATCTGTAAGAGGAATCTAATGAACAAAATAAACTAATGAGAAAATAGAACCAGAAGCATGGAAACATGGAACAAACTGACAACAACCAGAAGGGAGAGGGGAGGGGGATAAAGGTAAAAAGCAGGGGAAGAGACTAGTCAAAGAACACATATGAATGACCCATGGCCAGGGACAACAGTATGGGGATTGACTGTGGGAGTGGGTGGTGGGCTGTGTGGAGAAAGGCAAGGGGGAAAAATTGGGACAACTATAATATAATAATAATAATAATTTTTTTTAAAAAACTGAACAGTATTCCATTGGATGTACACATATCCAATGGATTTTGTTTACCCATTCATCAACTGACAGACACTTGGGTTGTTTCCACCTCTTGGCTACTTTAGCTAGTGTTACTGTGAACACACACATACAAGCATTTATTTGAATACCTGTATGGATTTTTTCTTCTAAGATATTTTTATTTATTTTTATAGACAGAGAGGGAGAGAGAAGGAGAGGGAGTGCAACATCAATGTGTGGTTGGTTGCCTCTTGTATAGCCCCGTACTGAGGACCTGGCCTGCAACCCAGGCATGTGCCCTGACTGGGAATCGAACCAGCGACCTTTTGGTTTGCAGGCCCACACTCAAACCACTGAGCTACACCAGCCAGGGCTGGATTTTTTTCTTAATGCAACCCCTCCTGGCCCTTAGATGTGGGAAAACAAAGAGGCTAAGTTAAGGGGCTGAAAATGAAATTAACATTTAAGTATCAAATTAATAATGTTTCAAGTCTTGATTAGTAATAATAATTAATGTTTAAATTAATAGTATTAAAAAACACCTGTATTTAACGTGTGTTATCTCATGTATTATAATTCTAAAGTAGACAACCACTTTATAAACCAGAAAACTGAGGCTCAGAAGGTTAAATAATTTGTTGATGGTCACACAGCCAGTGACCATGGTTTTTCTGGCTCCACGCTGCTGTTCTAACTACCTCACTCATCAAACTAGCATTGGAGGTGAGTGAATAGATGAGAGGCGCATTGCCTTGACAAGTAATTCTTCCCAAACTCTTACCTTGGTGAAGTTATCATGCAGAAACAAATGGTACGAAAACCTTGGCTATGTGCACAAGCCCAGAGAAAGAAAGAATGGGGATGCTCTGGCTTTTTAGGTATGTGTAGACGGATCCCCGGAATCACTCTAGATCTTTCCCTCCAGCTGATTGTCTGAATGAACACAGCTATTCCAGCCCCCTACATCCTCACCCTGGTCTAGAGGACAAGCTTCCCCTGACACAGTAGGAGTGGACACGATCCATGTCACAACTGGACAAAGGTGGGCTACGTACCTGGGGCTGGCTGAACCACGTCTAGGTCTCCTGTCCTCTCTTTGGAGAGTTCCTGCAGGCACTGGTCTTGTTCCTCCCTCAGCACTCGTACCACATCACATAGTCGAGGGAGGGCTCCAACCTGCAAATCCAAAACCAAGAATGCTCATCACTGCAACTAAGTTGATTCTACCACATAAGGACTTACTGTGAGCAGAATGGGGCTACACAATGGAGATTCAAATTCAGGAAGGCAAAGCACCTGCTCACAATTCTTAGCGAGGTACAAGCAGCCATTTTTAGGAGGGAGTTCAGAACAACAATCTTCAGCTTGTCCACTTGCAAATCTTACCCTTAAGTTTACCAAGGCTTCCAAATCCAACAAGCCATTTGCTTTATGGGCACCTCACTATTAGTCTGTAGCACTTAATGTATTCCACTCCAATTGTATTTGTTTCTCATGTTTCAAAAGCTTATTGGTGTATATAAAACCAATAGTGGCTGCAGGGAGGAGTTGAAAAGGAGAGCTGAGGAAAGACTGGCACATAGTCCTGGCTTCCCAGAGTCAATTTCCAAAACATTAGTCCATTCTTTCATTTGTACCTGAGACTTTAAAAAAATGTGAATGCATAAATGAATGAACAACTGAACAGAGTACTAAATTGAACTCCTACTTTACTTTCTACCAAGTATAGGATTATAATATTACAAATTCCTTTCACACACATTGACTTATTTAACTCTCAAAATAACCCTATAAAACTCAGCAAAGTGGAAATAGAAGGAACATACTGCAACTTAATAAAGGCCATATATGACAAATTCACATACTCAATGGTGAAGAGCTAAAAGTGTTTCCCTTAAGAACAGGATCAAGACAAGGATGTCCTCTTTCACCACTTTTTTTCCACATAGTACTGGAAGTCCTAGTCACAACAATGAGACAAGAAAAAGAAATAAAAAGCATCTAATTTGGAAAAGAAGAAGTAAAATTGTCATTATTTGTAGATGACATGATACTATATAAAGAGAACCCTAAAGATTCCACAAAAAAACTATTAAAACTGATAATGAATTAAGTAAAGTAGCAGCATATAAAATCAATATTAAGAAATTGGCTGCATTTTTATACACCAATAACTATCAGAAAGAGAAATTAAGAAAATAATCCCATTTACAATTGTATCAAAAAATAAAATACCTAGGAATAAATTTAACCAAGAAGGTAAAGACCTGTACTCAAAAAACTATAACAATTGAGAAAAAATTGAAAAAGTTACAAATAAATGAAAACAAATAAACAAACAAAATATAACCAGAGACACTGAAATTAAGAACAAACTGACAGTAAGCACAAGGGAGGGGGGAGGGAGATAATGGGGAAAAGAAGGGAAAGGGTCATCGAGGAACATGGATAAAGAACCCATGGACAAAGTTGAAAGGGTAGGATGAGGGTGGGAGGTGGGGGTGGGCAGGGTGGAGGAAAGTGGTGGTGGGTAAATGGTGACAACTGTATTTGAACATTAATAAAAAATGATTAAAAAGAAAGAAAGAAAGAAAACATATACCATGCTCATGGATAGGAAGAGTAACATTGGTAAAAATGTCTATACTATCCAAAGCAATTTATAGATTTGATGCAATCCCCATCAAAATACCAGTGGTATGTTTCCAGAACTAGAACAAGTAATCCAAAAATTTATATGGAACCACAAAAGATCCCAAATAGCCACAGCAATCTTGAGAAAGAAGAACAAAGTTGGAGGTACCACACAACATGATATCAAACAATACTACAAGACTATAGTCATCAAAACAACATGGTATTGGCATGAAAACAGACACATAGATCAATGGAAAAGAACAGAGAGCCCAGAAATAAGACCACACCTATATGGTCAATTAATATTTGATAAAGGAGGCAAAAACATACAAGAGGGTAAATACAGGTTATTCATTAAATGGTATTGGGAAAATTAGATACATGCAAAAAACAAAACTAGATCACCTTCTTACACCATATACAAGAATAAAATCAAAGTGAATTAAAGACTTAACTGTAACACTCAAAACCATAAAACTCCCAGAAGAAAACATAAGCAGTAAAATCTCACACATTGCTTTTAGCAATATTTTCTTATATATCTTCTTGGACAAGATAAACAAAAGAAAACATAAACAAATGGGATTACATTAGACTAAAAAAGTTTTTGCACAGCAAAGGAAACCATCAACAAAATGCAAACAACCTACCAATTGGGGCAAGATATACACTAATGATACACCTGTTAAGGGATTATTATCCAAAATTTATAAAGACCTTCTTAACACATATACTTCTTAACACACACATAAAAATGCCCAAATAGTTCAATTTTTAAAAATGGGTAGAGGACCTGAATAGACATTTCTCTAAAGAGAGATATACAGATGACCAACAGACATGAAAAGAAAGCACTAATCATCAGATAAATGCACATTAAAACCACAACAAGAATTAAAACCTCACACCTGTCAGAATGGCTATCATCAGTAAGTCAACAAACAACAAGTGTTGCCAGGCTGTGGAATAAAGGGAATCCTCGTGCATTGTTCATGGGTTGCAAATTGGTGCAACCACTATGGAAAACAATATAGAGGTTCCTCAAAAAACTAAAAATAGAACTGTCTTATGACCCAGTAATTCCATTTCTGGATATTTATCTGAAGAAATCCAAAACAGTAATTCAAAAATATATATGAAGCATATTTACAATAACCAAGATATGAAAGCAACCCAAGTTCACATTAGCAGACAACCGGATAAAGTGGTACATATATACAATGATATATTACTCAGAAAAAAAAAGAATGAGATCTTACTCTTGCAACAACATGAATCTAGAGGGTATTTTGCTGAATAAAATAAATCATAAAAATAAGGACAAATATCATATGACTTCATTTATATGTAAAATCTAAAGAACAAAATAAATGAACAAGCAAAACAGAAACAGACTCATAGATACTGAGAACAAACTCATAGCTTCCAGATGGTAGGGAAATTACGGGCTGGGTGAAAAAAGTGAACAGATTAAGAAGTACAAATTGGTAGTTACAAAATAGTCATGGGAATGTAAAGTACAGCATATGGAATATAATTAATGCTACTGTAATAACTGTGTACAGTGTCACATGGGTACTAAACTTATGGGGGAGGAATACCTCTGTAAATTACATAAATGTTTAACCACTATGCTATACACTTGAAACTAATATAAAATAATATTGGATGTCAATTGTAATTAAAAATAAAAATAACCCATAAAGAGAAACAGAAAGGGCAAGGCCCGCAATGGTTAGGGGATGTGACCAAGGTTGTCCATTTAGGGACCTCAGTTTCAATAACCAGCCTTCCATCAGGTAAAAGACCAGGGTTTATACCCTCTTGACAATCAAAAGGTTTCATACTATATGATTACACTTATATAACATTCTTGAAATGACATAATTGTAGAAGTGGGGAACATATTAGTTGCTGTCAGAAGGGGTGTGACTATAACAGAGCACCATGAAAGATCCTTGGGAAAGAGAAATGTTCTTTACTTTGATTGTATCACCATCAATATCATGGATGATTAATCAAAACCTTGCTCACTCGCAAACACTAAAAGAAAAATAACATTTGTTGTTGTTACCACTGAGATTATTTTGATTGTTATGCAGCATAGCTGACTGACACAGGGTGGGGAATAGATCTTAGGGCAGCATCAACATAAATAGATAAGAAGTGAAGTTTCCCATATTGGGTAGCAATTTGCACTGTTGGAGATTGGAGGATGAGGATATTCCACAAAGAAGTCTTTAGAGCAATGGAGCAAGATCAGAAATGAGGGAACACCTAGAATGGCAACCACATCTCCAAGGAAAAGTTCAATTTCCTTGCTGTTTTTCCCCTGGGACTATAGTAAAATAATAATCAGAGGACAGTTTAACTTTTTCTTCTCATCCTGCACTTCTTTTTTCTAACTTGCAGTAAAATATATATGACATAAAATTTACCATTTTTGCCATGTTTAAATACAATTCAGTGGCATTGAGTACATTTACAATGTTGTACAACCACCATCACTATCCATCTCCAGAATTTTTCAACATCCCAGCAGAAACTGTCTCCATTAACCACTAATCCCCGTTCCCCCTCGCCCCTCCCCTGGCAACCTCTTTTCTACTTTCTGACTCTATGAATTTGCCTGTTCTAAGTAGAATCATACAGTATTTGTTCCTTTGGGTCTGGCTTATTTCACACTCATGCTGCAGCATCTATAAGAATTTCATTCAGCCCTGGCTGGCGTAGCTCAGTGGATTGAGCGCGGGCCTGCGAACCAGAGTATCGCGGTTCGATTCCCAGTCAGGGCACATGCCTGGGTTGCAGGCCAGTTCCCAGCAGGGGACTCACAAGAGGCAACCACACATTGATGTTTCTCTCCCACTCTTTCTCCTTCCCTTCCCCTCTCTCGAAAAATAAATAAATAAAAATATTTTAAAAAAAAGAATTTCATTCATATGTAATGCTCAATAATATTCCATTGCATGTATATATCACTTTTTCTTCACCCATTCATCTGGTTATGGACACTTGGGTTTTTTCTACCTGTTGGCTATTGTGAATAATGCTGTTACAAATATGGGTGTACAAATATCTCTTTGAGTGCCCATTTCCAATTCTTTTAGGTATACACCCAGAAATAAAATTGCTGGATCATATGGCGATACTATGTTTACTTATTTTTCCTATGTTTATTTTTTTAAGGAACCATTGAACTGTTGCCCACAGCAGCTACATCATTTTACATTTTCACCAACAGTGAACAAGGGTTTAATTTTTTCTACATTCTCTTCTACTCCTTGTTATTGTTTTGTGTTAATAACAACCATCCTGACTCTGGCTGGCGTAACTCAATGGATTGAGTGCCAACCTGCGAACCAAAGGGTTGCTGGTTGGATTCCTAGCCTAGGGTACACCTCTGTTAGACATCTATCAACAGTTCTTTGTTTTTCCTCTGGAGACCTGTCTCCCACAGTCCTTCTCCCTCTTGCTCCAGTCTGGGCCTGCTGCCTGGCGATGGTTTGGAGTAGCTGCTTCCCAACTCTCCCAGCTGG